TGTTGATAAAATAATTTCTTAATCAAAAGGCGATCAACATTGTAATGCAAAGTTCCATCCTTAGTTAGATGAGTTCTTTTTTGTTTTTTTCATGTCCAAGGAAGGGACATCAGCAAATGGATTTTGCGGTTACATGCTGTGGTGGTTTGGGGTTGGGTAAATTCCATTGGTCTTCATTTTGAAAAATTGCTTCAGTCGGAGAGGTGGCAGTGGTGGTAACTATGCCCAGTTGATGGTAGTTTGAGGTTGGCAATATGTTGGCATTGAAGTGGCAGTAATGGTAACTTCATATATTTGTTAGGAGTGATGTCAAGTGAAGCAGCCATGGCCGTGATGAGAGAAAGAGGCTGAGGGAAGAGAGAAATACAATCTTTATTGACTTGAGTTGGGAGACAAATGATTTTATAATGGACTACAGTGTCTTTAATAAAGGATAGATTTGGTGAAAAGCCCAAAATTTTAGAAAAGGGTGTTTTACTTGTGGGGCAATCCAAAAAGGAAATGTGACTAAGGGAGTTTTCAATCATGGACAAGCATAATTTTTTTGTTTTAATTGGATTTTATTCCTCTTTTTTTTGTTGATAACTTTTTGCAGTCGTTTGGTTTGTCAATTTTGCACATTTATTTTGTAACTCGTGGTTGTGAAGTTTCTAACCAATCCATTGACATTGCAGTTTTACTCTGCTGGGTCACAGAAGAATTTGAGCTATATGCAGCGTTTGACCCCCTTGCAGAAAGGGTAAGATAATATCACACTATGAACTTCGGTGGACTGGGTTTGAAATTGCAGGTCTCTTTCCAGGGCTGTTTTTGATGGTCAGATTATATATCTAGAATTAAATCCGACATATCCTGATGCATTTTGATAGGTCTAGGTTAAGAAATATGATTTGTACCATCTCAACTTATACATTTAGCTATATGGATCCGACAACTACATTTTTGCAATTATGGTGAATAATAGCTTATCTTACTGCAGCAGCGGAAACCTTTACAACTTCGAAACATTATGTTGCCCTACCTTGCCTTTAGATTTGTATTTAGAGAAAAATTTATCTTGTGCTTTCTGGCCATGGCTTATCATGTGCTGTTTATTTGAGACCCTGGGGGCATTGTGTATTTAAAAAAGAATTAACCGATAAGTGAGCTTGTAGAGTTTTGACTAATATGTCATAGCTAGGTAATAGATGAGAATCGATAGTGGGTCTTCTGAAGGTTTAGGGCCTGTTTGAGTTCTTTTTGTGTAAAATGCATTTTGAAATAGTAGATTGATGGAGAATGTGTGGTTAAAAATGAAGGAAAAGTTTTTGGGTTGCGCGTAATATTGTTTTATTGAAAAATGTGTGGTTGAAAGAAGAGAGAAAAATGTATTTTAAAAAAAAAAATGGGGATCAAACAAGGTATTAGTGGTATCTTCTGCTCAATTATGATTTTCCTAGATCAAGTAAGTTTCTGAAACAGAGAGCTCATTTGGAAGAATTGGAACGTAGAAAAGCACATTCTCTCTGCCGACATCTGAGAGACCCGTATCTTGTGCAGCATCTCTTTTGAAGTTTTATAATGTTGCCTGAAATAGATTGTTCTACGAGTTCATGGCATTCAAATCAGGCGTTATTTTCTTCTTCTTGTTTTTACCCTTCAGCCCAGGGAGCAAAGGTTGAAAATGATGAAAGGAGAATATTTGGTTCAACTCAGATTTTTTCTTTTCGCTGTTTCAATTCTGCTGCCGACGGAGGAAGGCTAGAAAATAATGTGATGGGAGAAGATTGTCTCTGAACTTGGAATTCTTGTGCAACTTTTATTCAAAACTAGCTAGCGTTATATCTTAAGCGAGCTTGTAAAGGCAGAGCGATCCTGCAAATTTTAGTTATATAAATTATCGTCATTCTGAGTTATGATAAATTGCATTGCACCTTGCAGGATTCGGCAATAAAGACGTGCAATAGGGTTTGTCGTTGGGTGAAAGCTGTGGAAAATGACATTTTCTTGTTGGGAGCAAGTTCCTTTTCATGGTGATTCTTCCAAGTACTATGCCTACTCCCACCTCTTGTATTTGTATTGAATAGATAAGGTATACTCATTTCCCTCTTATAAAACATGGCCTAAGTTTTTGATAGGCTCCAATTTTTGTGTAGTTGTATTTGTACACACCAATATTGGTAGCACCCATAGTTATTAGACCCGACACGGACATCGACCCGGACAAGTTATTGGGTCTCGGGTTAGTTGTTGAACCGGTTGGTCAATAGTCGGATCGGTGGGTCATTGCATCAAAATCTATAAAAAAAAATTAAAGCATAAATTTTTTTTTAAAATTATTTTTCACGAGTTATTTAGGTTTATAAAATAAAGTA